TTACAGAATTCTTCATAATTATAATACAAATAAACGCTTTTAACAGTAAAAAAAAACTTTGTCATGTACCTTGAACAATAATTACAGTGGGTGATCGGTTAACGAACACTTTCACGAAAGATTTTTTTTTTGTTTTGGGACAACGAACACATACTCGGAGGTGATCAGGGATACCCCCTGAAACTATGGACTAAATTTTGACAACTGCTAAAGATCTGGAATTGGAGGTGAACGAGGATGACATAGAAGGGCTCATAATGGGACATGAAGATGAACTGACGACAGAACTCCAAGAAATTTGGAATGAAGAACACCAAGAAACACAGCGAAATGTGTCTCTTCTGAACAAGAGGAAGACGAAAGAGGACCAATGCCGACATCTGCCATTAAAGATCTTTTGAAAAAGTGGGCGGATGTCAGAGCACTGATCTTAGAATGGCACCCAAACCAAGCTGATGTCAATAGGGTTGGGGATTTTTACAACAACAATGCTATTAATTACTTCTGGAAAATCCTGAAAAAGAGAGAAAAGCAACGCCCCATAAGCAAAAAATGAAAAGGACTGATTAATATGCAAGACTATATATGTATGTATTATTTTTTTAAAAAACTTACTAAGAAATTATACATTTTTTTAAATTTAATTTTTAGGGTCTCCAGAACGAATTAATCGATCTCACATAGAAGTCTATGGTGAATCGATGATCGGTTAACGAACAATTCGGATAGCGCACATAGTCTTGGAAAGGATTATGTTCGTTAACCGATCACCCACTGTATTAAAAGAGTATAAGAATGAAAGATATGTATTTTACTTTTCAGTAAAAAACTATAAAGTATGACGTAATCTGCACTATAACTTATCCATTATATAAACAATATATGCATACATTAAACAACTAACCATTATCAACCTGTTTTGCAGGATGTTTATAATGCTGCATGGCAATGATTTTTTTTTCAAGTTATTGATATCTAAGTCCGAACATTTAACTTTTGATTGTATTCAAAACATTCTCATAGCCCACGCCTCTTGTGATTTAAAAAAAGGATAAGACTTGAATTTCTAAAACGAAAATATATTTATTTTTATGCCTTAGTAAGATTTCGAAGCCCACAGTGGCTAAGTGGTAGTGTATCGCGCTTCCCCACCACAGGTACGGGGTTTAAATCCCGGACTGGGCAAGGTCGACTCTGCCTTTCATCCCTTCAGTGGGTCGATAAATGAGTACCAAGTGTGCTTGGGAACTGAACACTGTGAGTTTCTGGTTAGACTCGTAGCGGATAACTACATAAGCCAGTAACATCCTCCAGACAGAAGTGATCGCTTTTGTCTAGTGGTATGTTACGTGCTTACGAATCAGAAGGTACCGAGTTCTATCTTCCTCATTGTTGACCCTGGCTGGAAAAAAAAACGCAAAACCTTCTGATCTGTAAGGGCGCCATCTATCCGCTACAGGAGCAACCAAAGTCGTCAAGACCCACTTGACGCAGCAAATAAAGTCGTCAGACTAACTTGACGCAACAGTAACAATTCGCACGCTCACTATAACAACTATATTGTTCGTTCGCCTATCCACCGACTCACTGGTAGGGGAGTAATGTAGCGGATTACTACATAAGCCAGTTATAGCCTCAGGACAGAGGTGACACTTTTGTTGCAAGGTACCGAGTTCTATCATCCTCAGACCGACCACTTGACCGAAACATCTGCACAAGCATCCCAGCGCCTAAGGTCACGTTAACTGAGATAGGTGCAGTACGCCTTGGCCCTTATGAGCTGTAGCCCCACTGAGTTCAGTTCATTAAGATTTCATGAAATGGACTAATGATACTAACATATATGAAATCGAAAAAAAATGTCTTTAAAATTCTTTCTGGAATGAATTAAATAATCAAAATAGAAGCTTAAAAGTCATTTCATTGTAATTCAGAATTACGAATTGATTCATCAGTTGCTCAGGAGGAAGTTGTTAAGGAACGCGCGAAGTTTACCTAACTCAAAATCAAACTTATTTTTTGAGTTTTTCCATAGTCTCATCACGATTTTATTTTTAATATCTTCAATTTAATCAATCCCACGTATTAATACTACGACATTGAACTGAAATATTTTTATACAACAAAAATGAAAACAACAACAAAAGGGTCGTAATTTTGTTCGAATGATAAACAACCAGATCTCTTAAAAACGGCTACGTAAACACACAAAGGAAATAGTTTCTGAATGATAAAATTATTTAGCCATTTACGAAGAAAATAAATAATTGATTACGATCTATAAACAAATACGAATTGTTGGAGGCACAAAGAATTTCCGCATCATTTACTCTCCCAACCATTCAGGTTAATTTCAACGTCATGAGTAACAAAGGTAATGAACATAACCTAAAGTTTCAACTAAAAAAAACCCATGGGAAAAGAACAAAAAGGTATAAAAAGATAAATTGATTCAATTAAAAAACATAATTAAATTCTCGTATGTTATGTAGGAATTCTATACCATTCTCTTTGCTTATTTCTCATTAAACGGCGTGTTGTATACGATGCCGAGACAACCCTTTCATTCAAGAGACCTCGTTAGAAAAGAATCGTTTATCCATTATGTGTGAAGTTCAATGGGATTATGATCGGTTGTTTTCTATGGATTTTTGAATGGTCTATTCCGTGCAGTTACATGTTGATCGACGGATAATTTATTTCGTCACTAGGAGCATGAAATATTACGGCTTTGAATTAAAAACAAGATGGGCTTCTACTTAAACAATCATAATAATGGGTAGAAAAATGAAAGAGAGTTTTAATTGTTTATTATATTGTACTGTTAAAATATCTAAAAATGATCATCAAGTCCTGCGAAAAAGTATTGTTACACATTTTGTGTAATGAATGCTTAAAAGAGTGTAAATAATTTATATCTGGATGTGTCATATGTTAATATTACTTTCTGTTGTATAAATTTTATGCAAAAAAATGTAATATTTGCAAACAACACCGTTCCTTTTCATAATAGCGATTTAATGGAAACTTGGCGAAACATTGGCGATAGAGTCAAGTTGGCGACCATATGGATGCTTCTGGAACTTACCGGATAAACCTATAAATATCATTCTATGACGAAAGCGGATCTTTTTCGAAAGATCCGTGCCGCCCATAAACAAAAGTCCCTCGCTTTAACTGAGTCAGTATTCTTTTAGCCGTTGAAGAATCGACTAGCAATTAGCTGCTCCATCCGAGCGAGTGCTTGCGAATAATCTTAAACATTACGTATTTGTATTCTTAGACTCTGATATTTGTGTCTGAGTTTTGTAAAAAGTATGAAGACTTCTAGGATTTATTTAGCGAATTATAGTGCTGTTTCCTGTACTTCAAAGATTGTTTTTCTACAATAAATTCTTATCGCTCCTTAAGAACTGTCTTGCCCTTTGAGACAGATAACTTAAAATCCTTGAATCTCGATCTACTTAACAACATTTAAACTATTGAATTGAAGAATTTTTTTTAATAAAAGATACAAATGACAAAAAAAGATAACACATTTAAAGATGTTTCAAACAAACAATCCGAAGGCTAAAATAAATCACCTTATTTAAAGATCTAACTTGCTAGTGAATTGCTCAGTAATCACTAGGTGTGTAGCTGAATTCACTAAAATTAATATATCACTACAGCTATGTATATAACGAACTATTCAAAATGAATCTTGCCATTTTAAGGCTGGCTTCGCTCAAGACCGCGATACGAGATATTTTCTACAGCTAGGAAAATGTTCTAATACTAATATAACAATAAGACTTTAATAATTTGTATCTACTATATTACGTTTTTAATCTCGTAAATCTTTATCTGATACATACTTTAAATTTCTTACTTTAAAGAAAAAAGCATGTTTATTTAATGAAAGTTTCAAAATTTTCAGGTTACACACGGAAGGATAAACTGTTGTGTGTGTGAACTTATTAATATTTGAATATTTTTCTATCTTAAAATGAATTTTAGCAATTGGGCTTTATGTATTAATACTAGATGACTACTTAATTATTACTTAAATCAATTAATAAGGATGAAACATGAATTGGTATCTCATTTTCCTACTAGTTGAACTTAACGTGCAGAAGTTTCTAAGCAAAGATTTTTAACGAAATTGTACAACTAATGACCTATTAGCCACTAAAAAAAAAGATGCTACTTTTATTAACTAGGAATCCTAATAAATAACTAAAATTGCCGAACTGTTTTTAATGTTTGGACTTGAGATTGTCGAAGTTTTAGTTTTCTTTAATGCTAAACGACAATAAATCTAAATAAAACACAGATTAGAGCAAATCACTCACTATCCCTTACACAGCAATATTTGATAACATTATTTAGAAATTTATCTAATACGCATAAATTACTTTTTAACATTATCAGTAAAATGAAAACGTATCAGTTAGTTAAGCAAAAAGGAGAAATTGAGAAGTCTGACTTTGCAGGGGGCGCTAATATGCACCACTATGCCACTGTGTGTAATTATCTCATTACAAAATTCAAGAGGAAATTTTAGAATAACTGGATCTATAAGTAGTACTGGTTTTTTCCCTTTTCCTGTAAATTAGGTACTCAAAAAGGAATAGCAATTTAGAACTTTTATAACAGAAATATTACTCTTAAAACCATTTTCTCGATCAATATCTGGGGGAAAAAAGTCGCCATCAAAAAACTTCGTGGCTCAGCTTGAGGATATATAATAACACAGTCTTTTTTTTTTCAATTCCTACCATTAGTTTCCACTCTCCCTATATATATCTTGTTCAAATTTTCAATTGTAAATAAAATATACTTTTTATACATCCACTCAAATTCAAATACATTTTTTTTATACTTGTAGTGGATGACACTCGATGTTAATACAGTTCTTTTTTTAAAAAAATTCATTAATTTTTTTAATTAATGAGGAAATAGTAACAAACAAAAATAATAGTCCAACATAATATATAAAAAGGAAAATCGCTCGTTGTGTCCCTGTAACGCGATGGATAGCGTGTTAGACTTTTAATCCAAAGGTTGTGAGTTCAATTACCACCTGGGATGGCCTACTTTCTGAGAATGTGATTTCTTTTTACTATATACTATTTTATTGGAATAATTAAATTTAATCAATGAATAAATAGTGACAAACAAACACAATAGTCCGACATCATACATAGAAAGGAAAATAGCTTTCTATTTTGCCACTTAATATTGTGATTCTGTCATATGTATATACATACAGATGGGTGACAAAATAATACGAACACCCGTGAAAAAGGCATGGCCCATTTCAAAGACGCACAACGCGCATGTCAGTTAGCGTTGCAGTCCGCCGCCTAGCGGATTCGAAAGGTAAAGTATCAGTCGCTCAACAGGTGTTGAGCGGCGTAGATAGGTGTTGCACGCGTTAATTGTAATTTCTGAAAAACGCAATAATGACGGACCTGTCAGAGTTCGAAAAAGGTATGATTGTTGGAATGAGGTGCGCTGGTTGCTCGGTGACGGAAACAGCCATTTATTCGGGGCGTGCAATGAGTACTGTGTCTGCCGTTATGACAGCATACAAGAAATGCGGGAATGTGACGCCTGGCAAGCACAACAGTGGACGGAAGAGAAAGCTTACCGACAGGCATAAAAGAGTCTTAACCCGCATAGTGGCCCGAAAGCGCAAGCAATCGCTATCCCAGATAACGTCTGAGGTGAATAGTCATCTTCGTAACACTATTTCAACAAGAACCGTCCAAAGGGAACTTCATGCTTCGAACTTGCATGGAAGAGTTGGAATTCGTAAACCATTGGTAACAGCACGTCATGCTTTACAGCTACGCCAGTGGTGTAGAACACACAGACAGTGGACCCCACAACAGTGGCAACAAGTCATCGGGTCGGATGAATCGACGTTCACCCTATTCCAAACCACCGGACGCGTTTATGTGTGGAGAACGCCCAAAGAAGCATTTGCTCCTGAATGCATCGTGCCGACTGTTAAGCATGGAGGTGGGTCCCTTATGGTATGGGGGGCGATATCTTGGCGTGGTCTTGGGCCACTTGCTACTCTACATGGCAAGGTTAAAGCTGCCCACTATGTCAATATCCTGGGGGATCAGGTGCATCCATTTGTCCAGACTTCATTTCCCGGAGAATGCCCACTTTATCAAGACGACAACGCTCCTATCCACACTGCTAAAATCGTGCAAGAATGGTTTGCAGAGCATGAGGGGGAAGTAGGTCATCTTGATTGGCCCCCTCAGTCACCTGATTTAAATATTATTGAACATTTGTGGGGATATTTGGAGTCAAAACTACGTGCTCGATTCCCTCCACCATCTACGATTTCGGCATTAGAGACCGCTCTCCACGAAGAATGGCTTCATATTCCATTACAAGTTGTTCATCACCTCTATGCGTCCATCCCACGTCGCATACAGTCTGTAATTCAGTCAAAGGAAGGTCGAACTCCCTATTAATAAAGCTTTTCTCCTCTTTCACAGGTGTTCGTATTATTTTGTCACCCATATGTATTTATATTAACTGTAATTATTTAATAAAAAGTAACTAAAATAAAATTTGACCTAAGTAGGAATTGTGTGTGACTTAATTTTTTTTATATTACTTATTTTTTTAATTTCAATAAACAGAATTTCAAAAGACTACAGATGAACATAAAAATAGATGCGGGATTCCCTCTCCTCCTAAACTTCCATAATGCTGATGAAACCAAAGATAAAAAATGATTTCCACTATTAGAATATTTGAAGTACAATTTAGTAACGAAGATATTAAAATTGCGACTCATAAGAAGATAAAAGATTAAAAAAAGGAAAAAAGCAGAATGGCAGAAGCTTAGTTACGCAATCCATTAAAAGCGAGGAAATCTTCGAATCAGGAAACACCTCAGGACGCCACAATGAATTACAATCACGTGTTATCAGATCCAAACGTTCCAGATCTAGAAAATACTCGCATTCTTTTTTCGCACACCATCATCTTCAGGAAACAGATGGTTGTTTAATATTTCGCACAGTTAAGAAAGGATGGAGATCTTTTACGAGAAAAGAAAATAATGTGGGGAAAAAGAGAGCCGTAATAATACCAATAATGGTTAAATGCAAATACGAAACTGAGAGAAGGGGGGAGTAGTGTTATCATTATCTACTCTCGTTATTTATCTTGGTCGGTCGAAGAATTAGACAGTGCCGAAATCTGAAGCCGCCACTTTTACCTGGCAGGTAGAACCGCCCCTCTTTTTCCCCGGGGGAGCGACAGGCCTCCACGCCCAGAATATTGATTGATTCAAGCACGTGTTTTAAGTGAAATATTTCGGGATAAGACGACTTAACGACAAAGCAAAACAAAAGTAATGCCAGTAGCGAGAGTCTTCCGGACTAGTCAATTGTGCGCACAAAGAAAATGGGAATGGGTATTTTGCGAATGAATCTGCGAGGACTGAAGGGACTCATAAATTTTCCCAATCTTGAAAAATAAATGGTATTGATTAATGGATCGTAGTAAATGTGTTGATGAGTTCTTGTATTTTAATTACAAAAATGTTGCGGTCGTTGGAGCAAAGACAAGCATGTTTTCACAACGCATAAACCATTTTTTTCTTTTCAATTATTGAAGTAATTGTAACTAAAAAGATCAGGTAATTTAATTCACTTTAATCTACATCTTTATTTACAATTTTGTTTCGTCAAACAATCAATTTTATACAAGTTAAATAATTTTCTTAAAAAAAATTAGAAAGCGTGTATAATTCATTTATTATAAAAAGGAAGAGAGTAATATTTTAAAATATACCGTAAAATCTGGCGTCTAACGCTCACTTTTAACATAAGAAATGAGATCGAAATTTATAGGTGCGCGTTATACTCAGGGTATAAAAACGAGAGCTTTGAAAATAAAAACACAAGAGACGAGCATAGACAAAAATTAGACATACATACATCGAAATACCATTTATTTAAAAGAAATGACATTCTTTATGGAATTAAATGATTTTAGTTCAAGAAGTACACTATTTTTTGTAAAACTTGGAATAACATCTCGAATTAATGACAACATATGAGCACTGCACAAGTACAGAGTGTTTTTTTTCCCAGGTATAGAAGTTTAAGTTGGCATTACTTTCCAAGATGGCGACCGATTTAACAGCTGTCAAGTGATTTATTCTCAGTTTGGTTTGGCAATTCATCATGAATAGACTCACGCCTGAAGAACGCTTTCAAATTGTGCAATTTTATTTCGAAAATAATGGTCGATTTTCATAAGCGAATTTTGTTTAGCGATGAAGCGCACTTCTGGATGAATGGCTACGTCAACAAACAAAACTGCCGCATTTGGAGAGAAGCTAATCCACAAGTGTATGTCGAAACACCGTTACATCCAGAAAAACTGACTGTTTGGTGCGCTGTATGGGCTGGTGGAATCATTGGTCCGTACTTCTTCAAAAACGATGAAGGCCACAACGTTAGTCAATGGTGATCGGTATAGAGCCATGATTACTAACTTTTTCATTCCTGAATTGAACAATCATGATGTCTAGGAGCTGTGGTTCCAACAAGACAGCGCAACATGTCACACAGCTCGTGCCACAATCGATTTATTGAAAGACACGTTTGGTGACCGCCTAATTTCACGTTTTGGACCTGTGAATTGGCCTCCAAGATCTTGTGATCAAGATCACCGCTAGACTATTTTCTGTGGGGCTATGTAAAGTCATTGGTCTATGCGGATAAGCCACAAACGCTTGATCATTTGGAAGACAACATTCGCCGTGTTATTGCCGATATACGGCCACAAATGTTGGAAAAAGTCATCGAAAATTGGACTACATCCGAGCCAGCCGTGGCAGTCCTATGCCAGAAATCATATTTAAAATGTAATGCCACAAGATTATCTTTCGAATAAAAAAAAATTCATGTCAATCGAATAATACATCGTTGTTTCATTGCAATTTTAAGTTCTATACCTCTCAAAAAACACCCTTTATATATATTTCAGGTTTCTTCGTAAAAAAAGGGGTGCGTGTTATAAGGCGACTATGCTTAAATATTTTTAAAAAATGCAGTTTGAAAGTATAGGTGTACGTTAAACGCCGTACTTCTGTAATCAATTTCGAACTTAAAAGGAGAATGACCAATTAAATAAAATTTCACTTTAAAAATGCGTTTCATTTTCTTTTGAATAAATTGTGCCAAGCGCATTTGCAGTTTGATTACTCTACTTCTTTTAATCCAAATGCACGCGCTCTTTCAAATGATGGCGAGCTATTGTACAGTCCACATGAGTCGAATGAACCACAATCGGCTGGAAGTTGACAGCCTTGAAATGCCCCCTATTTTATATACACCACTTGGATGCTCAATGCGAACAATTTAAGCAATTTTATTAGCGTTTAAATAAATAATTGAAACGTAAAAGTATCAAGGGAAGAAATACAAGTATAGGGTACGATCTTGTGCTCATGATCTCCTTAATTAATCTAAAAGAATATAATCTACATGTATAAAAATGGATGTTTGTATATATGTCCTCGCGCTTCACTCCGGCATCGTTCAAACGATCATTATGAAAATTGGAACGTATATATATATATTTTGTGGAGAAGGTTTTTGTGCTATCCTCTTTGTTGCAGCCCCCCACCAGGTAATGCTACAGCATATCAACTTCTGCACCATTCCATCAATTGCCAAGTTGCCAACAGGGTCGCCAAAAATGATACCAACTTGGCTCTATGATTACAATTTCAACATTAAATATAATCAATAGAAAGTAATATTAACGTATTGCACATCAAGATATAAATTATTTACACTATTTTAAGCGTTCATTACACAAAATTTGCAACAATATGTTAATTTTGCAGAGCAGAGATCAGCTTAGGAAAGTGTTTTCAAAAATCGACCCTCAAGGGAGTTACGGGGGCGTTATAAATAAAAAAGAAACCTTTTATATCAGCTATTAGACTTACAGACTTAAAATTTAACAAATATGATTTTTTTGTTCAGCTGAGATATGCAAAAGGCTGTTTTTGTTTAATTTGCAATTCACGTAAAATT